TCCTATCAATAGATGCAGAAGAAAACATTTTATAAAACCCAATATCCATTTCTATTTTAACTCTCAGCAAGTTAGAAATAGAAGGGAACTTCCTCATGCTGACAAAGGGCATTTATAGAAAACCTCCAGCCAACATCATACTTAAGGTTGAACGACTGGATGCTTTTCCTTTAGTACCCAGAGCAAGGCTGAATGTCCACTGGCACAGCTTATGGTCAACTGCACTAGAGGCTCTAATCAATGCAGTAAGGCAAGAAGTAGAAATAAGGTTTCCAGATTAGAAAGGAAGTACCAATGTCTTTATTCTCAGAAGAAGTGGAAATCCAATGGAATTCGCCAAAAAAAAAGAAAACTAGGGCTAACTTCAAGAGTTTGGCATGTTACAGGCTTCAAACTCAAGATACAAAAGTCAATTTAAGTTCTATATAAAAGTAGCATTTTGGAGGGCCCCCCCAGGTGGCTCCACGGGTTGAAGCACAGCACTGCAAAGCTGACTGCAGCCAGCTTCAATGCTAGTTCGATCCCCCTGGCCAGAGAAATGACCTACATGGCATGGCAGACCTCTCCTAACCCGCCCACTACTCCCCTCAGCAGTGTACTTTATCAATCTGCCTGTTCCACTCCCCACTCTGGCTCTGGTGAATCTTCTCACCATCCCTGCATTTTTTTTTTTAGTAGCATTTTGGAAATTAAAATTTAATAGATACCAATTACAGAAGCATTAAAAATAGGAACTACTTAGGAATAAATGTGACAAAATATAAGCAAGAAATGTATGCTAAAAAATTACAAAACAGATATTACACATACTAAAGGCATACTAAGTAAGTAGAGAACAGGCTGGGTTCATGGCCTTTCTATTGTTTTTAAATATTTATTTAATCAATACGTACTAGGACTAAGCTATAACCCAGAGATGCAGGGGGTGAGAGCATTCACCAGAGAGAGTAGGGAGCAGAACAGGCAGACTACTGAAATAGACTGCTGAGGGGAGCAGCGAGGACACAGAAGAGGCCTGCTGCACCACGTGGGTCACTTCCCCGGCTGGGGATCGAAGTCATGCTGCAGTGGCTGGCCACAGCTTGATGGTGCTATGTCTTTAACCCCTGCACCACCAGGGAAGCCCCTCTACTTAAACTCTTAACTTAAAGACTGAATATTGTTTAAGGTGTCAATTTCTGTAATTGATTTATAGAGCTGATGTAATTCCAAGCAAAATCTCAAGTGAATTTTTTATACAAAAATCCTCAAATTCATATGGAAATGCAAAGGATCTAAAATCTGACTTTGAAAATGGAGGCTTTTTTATGATTTCAAGAGTCATAAAAAAATTAGAGTAATCAAGATAGCACTGTATTCATATAAAGATAGATAAAAAGATCAGTGGAAGAGAGTAGAGAATACCAAAGTAGATTCACACCAAGTGGTCAATTTGATGGGAAAAATCTAAATAGTCTTCAATGTAAAATTGGTAAATACCTCAGGATTTTTTTTAATTGTAGTAATCTATATGTGGAAAAGTATGCAGCTGATAACAAAAAAGAGGTAGGCCTTATCACACTGACATGAAAAAGTCAATATATATATATATATTTTTACGATTCATTTTTATTTATACATACAAGAATGGGCTGTAGACCAGAAGTACAGAGGCTAAGAGAATTCACCAGAGACAGAATCGGGGGCAGAACTGGTAGCTCTACTGAACTACACCGCTGTGGGGAGCAGTGAGAGACAGGAGAGGTCTGCTGCGTCCTGTGGGTCAGCCCCACAGGTAGGGATCAAGCTCAGGCTGTAGTAGCTGGTGATAGCTCACCATCACGGAGACAGACTTTGATCCTGCACCACCAGGGAGGCAACACAAACCAATATATTTAGTACAGCACTTAGGTTTGAAAAACAAAATCACGTCAGGCACATATGTGTATGTGTTTTCAAAGGTCTGAAAGGAATTAGCCAATTAACAGTAGTTACTCTTGGGGCTGGTAGTAAAAGATGACATGTATACATACGTTTTAATGACTAGTTTTATTTTAAAAACTGAGACAGAGTTCACACTTGCAGGATGAGATGAGGAGCGTTAGCCACCACTAGCAAGCACAAGAAGGCAGCTGGCATGAAGCCTGGCCCACGGCTGGCCCTACCAATTGCCAGTTTCCATTTTTTACATCCCTACAGCCACTGATTTATTATGTGCCTAGTAAAGTATTACTATACTGATTATATTTGTCAAGTGGTTTTTAATTAGAAAATGTATCCAAAAGCAAAATAGCACAGATATGCACAAACTTAGCAGATACAGATTCGTAGGTCAGGCAAATGGGGATATCAGGGTGGATACTGGAAACAAAAATAGGCACCGTTAACATACAAGTTCAGTCCGCAAGCACAACTGAGCCCTCTGCACCTGGAATGCCTTGTTCTGTGCTGACAATTTGCTACAAGAAAGATGTCATGACCTGGAGAAGGTCCAAGGAAAAGCAGCTAAAAGGATGGAGAGAACAGGGAACATGCCATGTAAGGCTAAGCTACAGGGAGTGTGATTCTTCAGTGAGACGAGCCACGCTACAGCTGCTGTTGTCCTGAAGTCCAGCCGGCATATTAAAAGACACAGCTAAGGGCCCTCCCTGGTGGCGCAGCGGGTTGAAGCACAGCACAAATAAGCTTAAGCCACTTCCGCATGAGTTCGATCCCCGCCTGCCCCGGAGGTGACCACATGGCGAGGCAGACCTCTCCTGACCTGCCCGCTGCTCCTCTCAGCAGTGTACTTCGTCGATCTGCCTGTTCTGCTCCCCACTCTGTCTCTGGTGAATCCTCTCACCCTCCGCGTCTCTGGCCTGTACCCCAGTTCTGTATGAATAAATAAATAAATCTTTAAAAAAAAAAAAAACACAGCTAAGAAACGATAGGTGCGGTGTGCTTTGGCCCTCGGAGTCAAGATGGCGGAGCACGGGTACAGCTTTTCGCTGACTACTTTCAGCCCATCTGGTAAACTTGTCCAGATTGAATATGCTTTGGCTGCTGTAGCTGGAGGAGCCCCTTCAGTGGGAATTAAAGCTGCAAATGGTGTGGTGTTAGCAACTGAGAAGAAAAGGAAATCTATTCTGTATGATGAACGAAGTGTACACAAAGTGGAACCAATTACCAAGCACATAGGTTTGGTGTATAGCGGCATGGGCCCAGATTACAGGGTGCTTGTGCATAGAGCCCGGAAACTGGCTCAGCAGTACCAGCAGTACTATCTTGTTTACCAAGAACCCATTCCTACAGCTCAGCTCGTACAGAGAGTAGCTTCTGTGATGCAAGAATACACCCAGTCAGGTGGTGTTCATCCCTTTGGAGTTTCTTTGCTTATTTGTGGTTGGAATGAGGGGGGACCTTATTTATTTCAGTCAGATCCATCTGGAGCTTACTTTGCCTGGAAAGCCACAGCCATGGGAAAGAACTATGTGAATGGGAAAACTTTCCTTGAGAAAAGATATAATGAAGATTTGGAGCTTGAAGATGCCATTCATACAGCCATCTTAACTCTAAAGGAAAGTTTTGAGGGACAAATGACAGAAGATAACATAGAAATGGGGATCTGCAATGAAGCTGGATTTAGGAGACTGACTCCAACTGAAGTTAAGGACTACTTGGTTGCAATAGCGTGATAATGAAGTGACTGAAAAATCTGAAATTTCAGAGTGTCTCTACTTAAACATGTTTAAAGTATGTTTTGTTTTGCAGACTTTTTGCATACTTATTTCTACATGGTTTAATGGACTGATGTTTTTAAAATGATAGTTATAAATCATAATAAACTGTTAAATCCAATTTTCTGCTTTTTAGAAGTTAGAAATATTTTAAATAATGATATCCTGCTTTTTATCACAGTTAATTTCTAAACATTACATTGCCAAGCAAAATGGTGAAAGCATTCTGTCTTTATGCAACTTGGTTAAGTCGGGTTTTGTTACCATCTACTACCAAATATTGTCTATGCTTCAGTAACGCAAAATGCCAATTTTAGTAAACATCACTGTTAGAGCTAAGAGAATCTGCAGACTCTCAGGTTCATAAGATAAGATAGGAAGCATAGATATTTTTTAGTCACAGTTAGGTATAGATTAGTAAAAGCCTACGATGCTCTGTGTGATTGCACTGGAACTGTGAAGGTGCTAAGCTAGAACCTCTATAAGTGATACATAATGCAATTAAATAAAAAAAAAAAAAAGAAGAAGAAACGATAGGTGCACCTTGGGCCCCACACCAGCATAGGCAGGAGCCCCTAAAGCCATCTGAGGACCACTCTTGGACAAACACAGGGAAACCCCATGCCAGGGTGGAAGCAAACTTAGGGCCCTTGCTTTAGGGCGACAAACTGGAGAGCGAGTGTCCCGTGCATGAGAATAGAGCAGACCCCGGAGAGAGAAAATGGCAATATCAAGAGGAAGAGGCTGTGGGGTCCCTGGAGCAGAGAGAAGGTAGCCGCTGCCGAGACTCCTTGCTTCTCCACCAAGGCCAATCTGCATTTCCCCATCAATAACCCGCTTCTTTGAGTAACCTGATGTAATCTGACTGTCTGCTCCTCGCAATCCAAAGCACAAACTGAAAGTGAAATATGAACGGCTCCAGGAAGAGAAGACTACTCGTGGACAGGCCACACAAGCCTGGAGACAAGGGAGACAAAGCCCTTCGGGTTGCGCAACCCCACGAAAAACTTCTCAAGCACGAGCACCCACATGGGCGTGCTGAGGAGGTCCCCATGCTGTCACCTCAGTAACAGTCTGTGTGGAACAGTGACACACCACCGCGGGGGGCTCAAGGACCTTCCCAGAGCCGCAGCCCCGGGGACCTGGATATAAGGGCTGAACCTCCCTCGAGGGACCATCCGGTCAGCCGGGCAGAAGCTGTCCCTGATTGGCCAGGCTCAGAAAGGTGGCTGGTTAAAACTGACCCCCAGTCCAGCCTCCCTCTGCTCGACAGGCCACACCAGGGGACCCAGGGTGCCAACTTACCATGGTTTCCACTCCATAGGCAGTGGGGCCACAATGCCCTCTCGTGCCAGCCACATCAGTTCCGGTTCCTTGATGGGATCAATGCCAATCTCTCTGGCAAATTCAAGAATTTCTGAAAGGAGAGGCAGAAAGGTGGGAAGATTAGAGAAGGAAAGAAGGAAAAAACTATAGTCCCTCTCAGGAGATGATACATAGTGGTCTCTACCCTGGTTCTTGGTAACATCTGATTTCTGACCCAGTTCCTAACACAAGGCTAAATCCTTGGCATTTCCTAAGTGGTGGGAGTAACTTTTGTTCCAAGGAAGGACTCTTGGTGGGCTCCGAGGAGAGGCCAGGCCAGGCCATGATCAGAAGTCTCACCCCACCCCACCGCCATTCTCCAGATAGGAGAAAAAACCTATAATATGAGTTAGTAATCAACCATGCCAAAGTGAAGAAGCCTCCAGAAAAATTCCAGAACTATAGGATTTAGGAGCTTTTCAGCTGCTGAACATATTATGTGCCATAAGAAAAGCGCTCTCCAACTCCACAGAACAGAGGCTCCTGGGTGTGGGGCCCTCCCAGACCTGCCCCTGTGTATCTCCTCACCTGGCTGTGCACGTGGGCCACCTATCATATCCTTTATCGTACAATAAACTAGTAAAAATCGGTTTCCCTGAGTTCTGTGAGCATTTCTGGCAAATATGGAAAAGGAGGGGGGTGGATCTGTGGGAACTCTGGACACCTGGGGAGGTCACCTGGGACCTGAGATGGCATCCGTGAGACTGTGTCCTTAACTCGCAGGATCTGAAACTGACTCCCAGAGCATCAGTACTGAGTCACCGAAGGACACCCAGCTGGTGTCGCAGAATTGGCTGATGTGTGAGAAAACCCACACACCTGGTGTGAGAAGTATTGAGTATGAGAGTAAATGAAGAATAGAGCTTTTTTCCTAGGTATTTTTCCTGCTTTATCTTTACTATTCTGGTCATGAGCGGGTAGTAGTAAATACAAGCAATGCACAGGCATGCTATCTCTGTTCACCAAGAACATAATCTGAAGCCAAATATAACAAAGGTGAATGCTATAGGACAACTGGATCAAGAAACTGTGGTACCTGAACTCAATGGACTTCTAGTCAGCTATATAAAAAACATGAAATGGTGCCTCTGGGACAAAACTATTGACCCTGATTATACTAAGTGAAATAAGTCAGAAAGTGAAAGATAGTAACTCAGACTGTGAAACCCAGAGTGGCTCCCAGAGGTAATGGGAGAGGGGAGGCGGAAGGGGGAGATCGGTGACAGGACACGCCCTGGAGCCCTGGTGGAGGGTGAGTGAAGCAGGCTGAGGCTGCACTCCCAGCATTATATAGTTAGGCAAACAACTGGCAAATCCATGAAATTTGAGAAAAACAAACATAACCAAGTCAAAAAAAGGAATAACAACAAGACTTCAGCAGCACAGAGAGCTCAGGAAGTACCCCAAAAGCTATAGCCAGAAACATCCAGAATGAGGGCAGTCTTACCAGGACATGAGCTCCCCCAAGATTTGCAAAATCTCAGGGCTCAAGTGCTCATCACTCAAACAACAAGCATGGACTGAACAACTACAGACGAGTAAGGCCCGGGGGGACTTCACAAACCCACAGAGAGGGCAAAGCTAAGTGATACATGCTGTTAAGGACACACACACTGTTGCCACACGAGCAGAGAGAGAGCAGAGCCTTACTCTGCCCAGGACCAGGGATATCTGGGCCAAGACAGCGGGATGATACCAGGCAGCCTACTTCCCCACTCACTGAACCTCTCTTCCATGAAAGGAGTTGCTTCTTTTTCAATTTTATTTCATTCACATTTTGTTGTGCTCTTTCAAAATCAAGCAATTACAAAAGTTCTTTTGCCAGAGACCTGGAAGAATAGGACAGATGCTGAGTTAAAAGCTAGCCCACTCAGAGAAAGAGACAGATGAGGTCTGGATGTTACTGGATGGAGCACCCAAGAATAATGAAAACAACACAAGGGGAATCACTGCTTGAGAAAGCAGGCCAGAAAGACATTACCAAATTGGGTCATCTCAGTGAAAATTCGGAGGCTGACTGAGGGAGGTGGTGTGAGTACATTTTTTCAAAGGGCTAACCGGAACTCAGCTAGCCAACAACTAATTTCACAAATATTTTTTAGTGTCACCTATGTGCCAGTCATTATGTGCCATGATATCAGGTAATCTCTGCCCTTCATGAAGCTTACAACCGAGTTGAAGAAACCATCAAAAAAGAAGCAAAAAAATATGCAAAAATTTAATGCTTCTGATAACTGTAATAAGTAAAGGAAGTGTGAGACAGAAATGTCAAGGTGAAGTGGGCATACCTACAGAAACTGTGGTCAAGGAACACCTCTGAGAAATGGTGTGACCTGTAATCAAAACCTGTAGGAGACAAAGGACCCAGCCAGGCCTAAGAGCGCACTGAGGAAAGAGCACAAGACAGAGAAGCACATGTAAAGGGACGGTGGCAGGAAGTAGCGTGGCCCATCTGAGCACTGGCAGGAGGCCATGTGACTGGCAGACTGGGCAAGGGAGAGAATGGCACTGGCTGGGCCTGTGTAGATTTGGGTCTACCTTCTCTTTGTTCCATTACACTGTTTATTCATACACTAGGATCCCACTCTCAATTACTGAGCCTCAACAGTCAGTATCTCGTGGGGTTGAAGTATACTCCTGGCCCTTGTTTTCATAGTTTTCTTGGTTATCATGTTTATCTGACCAGGCAGGCCTTGGAGAGCCCGGCGCACCCCAGCATGGGTTGTGCAGAGTATAATGAAAGATCCTTAAAAGCAAAGCCCTGGTATTTATGCCATAAGAACACACTGGGGCTGGGTGGAGACCGAAACTACTAACAGTCCAGGAAAAGAAAACAGTGGCGCTTGAGCTTAGGATGGCTGAACTTGCACCGAGTGGAAGAGAGGTTATACAGACACTGGTAGAAAATGTCAGACCCATTCACAATAGCAAGCCAAAAAAAATTATTTCAAAAATAAACTGGGCTTTGAAGCGAAAAAAAAAAAAAAAAAACTGGGCAGAAATGTGCACATAAAACAACTTTTGAGTCACTCCTGAAAAATACAAAAAAGAAACAAGTGGAAAGGAACACAATGTTCTTCAAAAGGAAGACTTGGTTGCACAAATATATCAATCCTCCCTAGATTAAGACATAAATTTAACACAGCTTTGTCCAAAACATCAACTATCCTCCCATACACAGTGCTCCCCAGAACTGGACAAGGTGATTCTCAAGTTCCTGGGCAGATAAACACAATAGAAAACTATGAAAACACAAGGGCAAGGAGTATACTTCAACCCCACAAGATATTGACTGTTCAGTAATTGAGAGTGTGGTCCTAATGTATGAAAAACAGTGTAATGGAACAAAAAGAAGGTAGACCCAAATCACGCAGGCAGGACCCAAGTCAGAGGCGGGAAGAGGAGTCAATTCATGAAGAGTGTGGGACAAAACTAAAAGAAAAGAGAAGTGGGTCCTTGGGGTGGGAAGGCTTTTTTCAAACTATGAAATATAATTCAGAGGCTATATTAAAATGCAGTAACAAGTGGATCATAAAAATTAAAATTTTCCATAGGACAAACAAGCAAAAACTCTAAGTGAAGTCTGACATCTGAGTGTGCAACTTCTTCCCCACTCATTAGACAGGCCCATGGGCCCCCCCGAATCGTCAGCAAAACTAGTGTCCATAACTCATGAGAATTTCAAGGGACTCCTCATCCCAAAACACAGCACGTGCCTCAAAGTGCAAGCCCTGGGTTTAAAATATCTGGGGGTGTATCCTCGTTGCATCACTTAATAAAAGTGTATAATCACAGGGAAGTTACTCAACCCTCCCAGGTCCTGGTGCCCTGACCGTGAGGGGGGCACAGGCAGTGACTAACTCACGGAGCTGGTGGAGGAGCTGAAAAGGAAATGCAGGTGACGTTCTTGTCCAGAAGCTGCACTTGGCACAGAGACTGGCACACAATAAATCCTATTAATAACATTGCTACTAATAGTAAAGGGGGAAAAAAACACATCTCTTTAGTTTGGTTTTTTAAAAAAACTGGGTTTCCTCTGCCTCAGAATACACTTTATCTTATGGTACCCCCTACTATATTTTCATTTAAGACTGATCAAAGTTGGCAAACATTTTCTGTAAAGGCCAGAGAGTAAATATTTTAGACTCTGTGGGTCACATGGCGTCTACCATACTGCTCAATACTCTGTATAGCCTGAAAGCAGCACAGACAACACATAAACAAGTAAGAATGCTGCTTTTTCATAAAGCTTTATTTACAGAAACAAGGAATGGGCCAGGTTCGGCCCATGGGATATAAATGGCCAACCCAATTCACCCAATATACTCAGCAGTCCTGTACTTGCATCATACTTTGACGGGAAGAACATAAATCAGACATAATCTCTGCTCTCAAAGAACTATTACAACCCACCACAGGCCTCTTACCTTGCTCGCTAGGGATGTAGGTCTCATCATAATCTTCCTCCAGCACCAGCTGGTCTCCTATGCGGATGGGTCTTCCAGCCATGACTGGCCTGAGCTCGAACACCTAGATCCCAGAGAACCCCACCCAGAGAGAGAATCAGAGCTTCATGTTAGAAGAGGAAAGGCTGGAACTGTGTCATGGAATACTTGGGTTAGACCAGACTCTAAAAGCCAACTTAGTTGGGGATTTCCTGGGCATCAGGATAGTGGGCAGTGGAACCAATGGCTAAAAGTCAGACTTTGCAGGATCTTCACCCCAGAAAATTCCTGGAGTCACACCTCTCCCCAAAGACTTGCTAAACACCTGAACCACAAAAGATATGAAAGTCCAGTTCACTCAAAAGCTTGCCCCCCCAAAGAAGAGAAAGAATGAAGAGTAAAGGAGGGCCCCTCTCGTGGTGCAAGGGGCTAAGCTGCAGCACTATAAAGCTATCTGCAGCCACTGCAGTTTGAGCTCCATCCCCAGCCAGGAAGCTGGCCCACATGGCACAGCAGACCTCTCCTGTCTCACCCGCTGCTCCCCTCGGCAGTGTATTTCAGTCATTCTGCCTATTCTGCTCCCCACTCTATCACTGGTGAATCCTCTTACCACCCCTGTACCTCTGATCTGTACCCCAGTTCTGGATGCATAAATAAAATCTTTAAAAAAAAAAATAGGAAAGGAAAAAGAGCCTTTTCTGCAGCACCTAAACCCCAGTAGGAACCTGCCCCTTACCATAAGACCTAATGCCCAAGCCTCTACAGTCAGAGGCACCAACAACATGAAAAAGCGGCAAAAAATACCAGGAACCAAGGCGGTGGGCGTGCTCCACTTCCTGGTGTCTGATCCGTCACTAGAATCTTTGAGCAAGATAGCGAGGGAGGGAAAGACTCCCCAGAGATGGAGGAATCAACAGTGACTTGAACATCAAGCTGTACAATATTCAACCCAACAGAGAGCTGTCTCCACAAAGCACAGAAATTCTGCTTCTGAGAACTGTTACTTATTTGCAGACACATCCAGACCCCAAAACACATGGGGCAGGTGCAATCCCTGTCCTCATGGCAAATTGCCTAGTAAAGTATATCCATCATGATCTGAGTATGTTTAAAAATCAGAAAGAAAAGACAGATTCATGGAGCTTTTGCAGAAGCCAAATCCTCTGCCTGAAAAAAAATTAACATACAGGTAAGCTGTATTTGCCCTCTCTTTGCCCACCTTGTTTCAGAAAAGATGTGGGCAAGCCAGGCTCAAAAGGCAGGAATTACAGCAACAAGAAAGATGGGAAGAGAAATCACATTTACTTAATGGCCAGAGATCACTTACTCATTTGCGAAAAATGACCTAGCACCTACTAAGCTACTTTCTGCTGGCCACTGGAGATGCAATGGTGACCAGAAACATCCAATTGCTGAACCTTGGAGCTAGTGGGGGGTGCGGGGGAAGGAGGCAACCAACCCATGATGGGAAAATGTATGATTATGATGAAGTAGGAACTGAAGGAGCAGCCGGCATTCAGCGAACACTGGGAACAGGAAAAGTGCAGCAGCACCCGCAAGAGCCTTCAACAGTAAACACGGCCAAGCAAGCAGCAGCACGGCCAAGCAAGCAGCAGCACGGCTGCAGACAGTGCCAGGAGGCGGGGCCACCCGGGAGCAGGGCCTCGATCATAAGAGCGCCGGGAGCCAGGAAAGGGTTCTTCCGGACAGTTTGAGAACAGCCGCTGGGAATGCAGACTGGGGTGGAAGGATGACTGGAAGGAAGGAAACCAGAGTGGCTGCACAGGTAGAAGACCTGAGCCGGTCTCGGTGAGTGATGACGGTACCCTGCGCGAGAGTGGTGCCGTGGGAAGATGAAAGCAAACACATGACCCAGTCCTAACATTTCTCCCAAGCCTGAGAGGGTGGCCCATCCCTTAACCACAGCCCCCTCGACGCGGCGCTAAAATCTTGTACTCCACATAGCGCTGACATTAGGTTTCAGATGACACCTACTGAGATCTACCTGCCGTCAGGCCTCAGAGCCACACAGGTGTGGGGACGCACCACCCAAGCTACTTCACCCCAGGAAGTCCTCCCTTACTAGCCTCGGACTCTCCTATCCACTCATAAGTGCCTCAGCACAGAGAATGGTTTTCACGCATTCACAGAATACTCCTCTCAATATCATTTTTTTCATCGGAATGTGTCCTGGCTCTCTGTCAAGCCACAAACTTCTCAGGAATATGCCTCTTCCTCCTGTATTTTCCAAGTAACCCAAAACCATGCTATGTAGACTACAGGATCTTGGTCACCGCTATAAACCACCTACATGGATACAAGAAAACTCAAAAGCAGGAACTGTCCTTAAGAGCTTTGGTCCAACTGCCTTTCTCATGTCAAATTGCTCCTCTCTGTGCTTCAAAGGAGAGTGTGAACAATTAGCAGCTGGTCAGGGCAGCAGGCCTGGGGCCAGAAACACCCAAACTCAAATCTCAGCTCTTACCAACTTAAGACCTGAGACAAAGTAAAGTACTCTCTTCCCTAAGCTTCAATAATGTGATGTATATGACTCAGATAATCACAAAATTGATGGCAAAAGGTTATTAGAGGATGGAATGAGAAAATACTTGCTAAGTGCCTAATACTATCTTTGGCTAGGAGACAGAATACATATTTTAAAAAGTTTGCACTGGCCCTCCCTGGTGGCACAGCGGGTTAAAGCACTGCACTGAGAATCTAAAGCCGCTTCCGAATGAGTTCGATTCCCGCCTGCCCCGGAGGTGACCACATGGTGTGGCAGACCTCTCCTGACCCGCCCGCTGCTCCCCTCAGCAGTGTACTTCGTCGATCTGCCTGTTCTGTTCCCCTCTCTGTCTCTGGTGAAGCCTCTCACCGCCCCTGAGCCTCTGGCCTGTACCCCAGTTCTGTATGCACAAATAAATAAAACTTAAAAAATTTAAAAAAAAAAAAAAGTTTGCACTATTCCTGATTTAGTGATAACTCCATAGTTAGATATCCCTAACTATGAAAAGATCTTTCCCATATTAAGCTAAAAAATCCATTTCTAGGCCATCCCTGGTGGTGCAACTGGCCGGGACACAGAACTGCAAGCTGGCTGCAGCTGCTTCAGTGCCAGTTCAATCCCTGCCCCGGAGGTGACCCACATGGTGCACAGACCTCTCCCGACCCGCCCACCGCTCCCCTCAGCAGTGTACTTCGTCGATCTGCCTGTTCTGCTCCCCACTGTCTCTGGTGAGTCTTCTCACTACCCCTGCACATCTGACCTGTACTCCAGTTCTGTATGCATAAATAAATAAATCTTTTTAAAAAAAAATCCATTTCTAAAGAGCTCCTCCCACTGTCCCCTCCAGCCCTCTGAACCTGCGGCAAGCACATGGCTCCTCTAGCCCAAGCTAAGTATTCCCAGTTCCCTTCCACTCAACATATGCCATCGTTTCCCAGACCCTCCACATTGTGGTGACCCTCCCAGGAGAGCCAAAACATTTTGTACGCCTGCACACTAACAGAGCACACACATGCACACACAAATATTACTTCCACTCTGCTTGAATAATCACAGAGGAAATTCACTAGAGAAAAGCTTCACTGGAGGTGACCTGCAGGAGAAGGTGGGAGACACTGGAGTTTATTATGTGATGGTAGTGGGCTTTGATTACAGCTCACCTCTTTCCAGGTGGGCAAACTACCTGTCTCCTCATCTAGAAAATGGGGAAAATAACAATGTCTACCTCGGAGTTGTGAAGATTCAATGACTCCATACATGTAAAATACTTAAAAACAGTAAAATCTCAATAAATGCTAGTTGCTGCTGTTATTCACCTATCTAAAAGACTTATTTGACATCCCAATGTAGTTCCAGGGAACACAAGTTGAGGCCATTCAGGAACTCAGTCTCCATTCACTGAACACATTCTGCGAGATACATGCTACTGGGGCTGCAGACTGGATGACTCGGGCCAGGCCTGGGCTCCAGCTCAGCCTGACTGGGAACACGCAGGGCCTGTGAACACATGATTAAATGAAATGCAGCAAAGGAAGAACAGAAAATACAATGGGACACACACAGCAACGAACTCTACCTTGGAAGATCAAGGAAAACATCACAGAAGACGACAAGTGCCATGGTTCCTGGGACAAGCAGGAGCTCGGCAGGTAAGGGACACGAAGGCAGAACGAACCCAGAAAGGCAGAGGGGCAGGAAAGAATGTGATGGGTACGGAGGATTCATTGTGACAACAAAAGCATATGGCCCCCAAACTGCACTAATACTTTGCATACATCATCTCAGCCGGCCCTTCAGCTGGGTAGAGATTATTATCCCCATCTTTCAAAAAAGGAAAAGGAGGCTCAGCAGGTCTTTAAGAAAAGCTTTGCCTAAGGCTCTCCATCTAGTCACCGCACAACAGAACATGCACACATGCCACATCTACCTGACTCCAAAGCCTGAGCTCTTAAGCACTTGTGACCAGAACACAGGTGACAGTGGGAGGGGTGACAGGAGAGAGCGCTACAGGGCAAGGCACACATTACAGGGCCACGAAAGACTGAGCTGGTTTCCTGAAAGTGATGAGGAACCATCACAGGTTTCACAAAGGAGACTGTGGTGGTCAGAACAGGAGTTTAGAAAGGTAATTCTGACAGGTGTGTAAGAACTAATTAGAACAGGGCAAGCGCAGAGACAGAGGGGCCTCTTAGTTGGTGAGCGTGGAATTATGAACTAAGTCAGTGAGTGTGAGAACAGAATGGAAAGGCCAGATTCTAAGGGGATTAGAAGGCAGAAGGTGTGCGGTAAGTGGGGCTGAGGGAAACCAGGGCACTTACACAGGTATACTGTGATACCTGCACACATCTACTTCCAGCCAACAGGTCTGGCCACCCAGCATACTGCCTCGAATATAAGACATCCCAACAAATGTTTGGTGCACGTAAGAGACAAATGAATTCAACGTGCAAAATCAGCTGACAGAGGATGAAGTCTTTCACTAAAGCAGGAACTACCAGAGGAGACACAGACCTGGGGGACCAGGAAGATTGGGGCGGCTTGCAGTTCAGGATGATCAGTAAACAGGAACTGAGGACAGGGAAAAGGTCCGGCTGGAGTAGTCTGGGTGTCACCTTGAATAGATGATAACGGAAACTTTGGGTGAAATCACCCAGAGATGGCAGATGAGTGGAAAGAGCAGTGTGCGGAGGCAGGTGAGGAGGGCTGGGTTAGGAGGACCAGGAGGGAGTCCAGGAAGCCAAGTGGCTCCAGGTGGAGATGGCTGATCGCTGAATCAGTGCAAGAAAAGCACGGACAAATACACGCAAACTCCCAGCTGGCAAAAAGCAGCACGAGGTGCCCGAGGCCTGGCTACGGCCAAAGCTCCCCCGCCCCCTCCGCCC